GGCGCAAGGGACGACATACCGTTCAGACTGATGACTTCTCTCATGGTGGCTGCGAGGAAAGGTAGTAATTGGGGTATCGAAATGGAGTCTCGGGGGAACCTGGGCGGCGAGGGTTGAAGCTGCTGGCGGTGGGAGTGGAGCAGTGGGGGAGAAGTGCTGTTGTGTTGTGGAATCGAACTTTTAGGCCAAAAGGGTCCGCCTATCACGGACCACGGCGCTAAGCTACACGTCCAATGCAGCTGCCTGGCCGTTGCGCGAGAAACACGACCGCATCGCACGAATTCCAAGCCTGCCGTTCCTCTGCCTGCCCATGGCGCTGCGCTGGCCGACGTGAGAGACAATGAAGTGCTGCCCTCCCACCTCTCCCCCATCTTCACGTGCTGTCCGCCAAAGATGCGCCTCTCCGCCGGGCTGCTCTGCATCGTCACACAGGCCTGGACGGTGAATGCCAACGTCGAGAAGACGATATTCCTTGGTCCCAGCCCTGTGACTCTCTCCAATGTCCGCCCCGGGCTAGATGACCTCGGCCTGCACCACCTGTCGCCCTCATCCACCATCCTCCCGATCCGAGTCCCTGTCCAGTTTCCCACCGAGTCGCTGCCCCGCGGTCTCGAGTCCTGGTACCTGCTTCGCGGCCTGCAAGACGGCAGGAGGTACGAGGTGCGCATCTGCTGGCCGGCCACCGTGAGTCTACTGCTCCTTCCCGTTGCATATCGCCTGCATCGTCTCGCCTGATTGTTTGTACTGACCTGCCCAGCAACCCACCGACTTCTGGCTTGACACCTACTCAGTCACCCACGTATTTGATACTCCCGAGTTGATATCCTCGTTATCACAGTATAGCTCAGTCATTCGACGCGATCCAGTGGACGACGACCGAAACACCAAGGAAGCGCCGCCTGCAGCTCCAGAGTCGGTACTGTTCTTGCGCCTCCAGGCTGCAGCGTCCTACTATTCGACCAATCGCACATTGATGGACTACCCGCCTCCAGTTGATGCCGACATCAGTACGTCTAGTCTTACCAAAATACCGTACATCGTCTAACAACCATAGTACTCGACCCCTTCATACTGAACGTCTTCCCGCAGTCACTTGGCCCAATCGCGATATACATCACCGCAGTCGCTATAGGAGCCTGGTTCCTCTCCGGCTACATCTACCGCTGGCTTCTTTCCGTCGCTGCCGAGTCACCCAGCAAACCGCACACCGATTGAGCAGCCAACAATGTCTGCAGCCCCTCCTCCGCCTCCTCCTCCGCCGCCGCCGCCACCGCACAAGCCTCCTTCCAGCGATGTCACGTGCGACGATGACACGTGCGACAGATTGTTCAATCTCCTTCCCGCCGAACTGCTCCTCATGGTAATCAACTATGCGGGTGTCGGTAGTATTATGAACCTTGCTCTAGCCATCTATCCTACCCTGCAGCGGCATCGGATCGCCCCGGAGCTTAGTGCGCGCACCTACTTCAGCATAGTACGTGTGGATAGGGCCTCGAATACAAGCAACAGAAGACGACCCCTACCGCAAGGTCTCGATCGGATGCCCATGGAGCTGTGGTTTCAGGTGGCTCGGGATCTGGAACCAATCGACATCTTGTCCATGATGTTCGCCATCGGCGCATATCCGCGAGGCTCACGACGACATGGTGACATGTAGTGAAGTACACGGTACACATGATTCTTTTGCCGGCTACGGGCCGTGAGCAAACTATGGCTGAAACGGGATGCGATAGCCAGACAGATACATCACCATACAAAGAAAAAAGCCGAACATGCCTAGAGCCTACATTGACGTTAGGCTACCCACTTTGCACGTTTTTATGTTGATGTAGGCTGTAACCACAAAAACGTAGGTTGCGGCCTGTTCAGTTTGTCCCAGGTTGACGTTACCGGAATAGCTCGATATGCAAGCGTATCTAGGGTTTGCTCAGACACTGGTGCTTGCTGTCGAACACACCCTGATCTCTCGAGTCTGGACCAGGGTCGGTACCTGGAATAACTGTGAACGTCTTGCACTCTGGAAGAGGAATGAGTAGGAGTACGATGGTGCAAACGGCCACAGCTGTATGATGGAGAGTAGGAGTCTGGAACAAATCGAACTTGAGCAGATTGCTGAGCTTCTACGTGAGCGTGCAGAACGAAACAAGAAGAAGCAAGACATTTGCAGAGCAACCCACAAAGACATCTTCAAGCTACCGCGAGGTTCTGGGAAGAAGACCATAAAGAGGAAAGGAGTATACAAAGGGGAGAGTGGGAAGACGCAAACCGAGATCACATCCGGAAGTACCGACGTGGAAGGGACAAGGAAGCAAAGGATTCTGCACAGTACCTCCTGTAAAGAGTGTGGAAAACTCTTTGGAAATAAGAGAGAATTGGATAGGCATCTAGCTTTAGAAGTTGCGTGCAAGCCAAAGCGGGATGCTGCACGAACTGCCAGGCTGACTTGTGGTTGTTGTAAGAGGGTGTTTTTCAGATGTACAGTCTGAACGAACATTATAGAAGACTTGCTTGTCCGGCTCTTCGCAAGTGAGAAACATGGCTTTCCGGTCGGCAATGACGAGCTATGGGTTCCGTCACCGATAGATCGATAGAGTCGGATGAGGTGGTTCTAGATAATGTGAGGATCGTTGCTGCATAAGCTACTTGGGACATGGAAAGACTGGACGCATAGCGTGTAATAAAGCGGCTATGGTGGCGACCGTGGATGGATAATAAAGACGATGAAATATTTGTTCAACACACACCGAGCGTCGGAACAATGCTATACCGACCTATTATCCTACTTTGCACACGAGGCTGGAAGCATGCATGCTGCACGGACTTTGACGGCTCAACAGACGCCAGCTTCTCACCACCGCAGTTGAGCGACGCTAAAGATTACCCCATAACCAAACACGCCCTAGGGCGTTCATTAGTCACAATCCGCCGCGCTCGTCCCGTGAAAAAGTTCCTGGGCCCTGTAAACCTCGGTGCTTCGCAATCATCCCATCTTGAATATTTTTAGAGGAATCCTTCCGTGAAAAAAAAGCCACAATGGTGCTCACGGACGAAGAGCAGCCTCTGCTCAGAATAATATCGCATGACTACGAAAGCGTCCAACAAGAGAATGATGCCGAGGAGGCTGGAAATGACGCGCTTGATTTTGAGCCTCTGGACCCTGAGGACCCTCGCAATTGGTCGCCAGGTTTCAAATGGGGTATTGTTTTGTTGCTTGCTCTTATGGCGTTCACCGTGTATGCATATTCTCCCAGCACTCCAGTTGTCAAAAGAACTTCGACGCTGACCATGTCTACAGAACGTTTACTTGCATTGGCGTGGTACCGGTCGCCAGCAAGATCGTCTCGGATCTCGATGGGAAGCAATCGAGCTCTGCAAACAGCGCGCTCCTCGTGACTATCTGGGAACTTGGAGAAGCCGCTGGACCATTACTTATCGCACCGTTATCCGAGATTTTTGGACGCTATCCTGTTTTCAACGTTTGTAACATTGGCTTCATCGCTGCGACTATCCTAGCAGTTTGCAGCCAGAACAGCGGCATGTTCATTGCTGCGAGGATGCTCACAGGTCTTTGCGTCGCTTCAAACGTCCTCAATCCAGCGATTATCGGAGACATCTTCGAGAGCGAGCAACGCGGCTCCGCAATGTCTTTGGTTATGCTTGCGCCGCTCATTGGAGGAGCTATCGGCCCTGCCATCTCTGGCGCCATCGCAGAGACGATAGGGTGGCGACGCATGTTGACCATCGCCGCCGGACTAGCTATCGTGTGCGAAGTTCTGTTCCTCGTCTACTTCAGAGAGACGTACAAGATGGCTGTCTTGAGAAGAAGAGCAGCGAAGACGATGCAGGAAACTGGAAAGGTTCCGGAGTCGAAGAGCACACATGAGTATCTAGCAAAGCTCTGGCACTCTATCACGAGGCCTTTTGCGGTGTTGTTCGGTTCGAGCGTACTCATGCTTCTCTCGCTATTTGCCTCGGTCGCGTTCAGCTTCTTTTACGTTGTCAGCGTTTCATTACCCTCGATCTTGCTGGACAGGTATGACTTCAAGTTCGGCCAGATTGGTTACACTTTTATCTCATTCAGTGGGTATCCTGATATGCTTGAACCTACGGCAGCTAACAGATATCTAGGCGTCGGATCTTTCTGCAGTGTACTAGTATGCAACTTTACGCTCGATAGGATATACGTCAAGCTCCGCGGGCCCGACGGCGAAAAAGGAAAACCCGAGTACCGCCTTCCTCTTTCTATCCTGGGTGCGATCCTCTTGCCTTTTTCGGTAATAGCATACGGCTGGATCGCAGACTACCGTCTGCCTGTACTCCTGCTTCTCGCCTCGGTGGCCCTGATGGGGTTCTCGCTCCTTCTGACTGTTATACCGTTATCTGCTTACGTGGTTGACGCTTGCGGTATGTACTCCGCATCGGCTATGACGGGCGTCATCGTCACGCGATGCCTTATGGGCACCTTCCTGCCACTCACGACTGGTCCATTGTCTGACGCACTTGGTTATGGGCTGGGCTTCACTCTTTTGGGTGCACTGAGCTTGTGTTTGGTCATCATCCCGTTATGCATCTTCAAGTTTGGGGAGAAGTGGCGGCAGCATTCGGAGTTCACGAAAGATACTTGAAGCACCTTACACAAGAAAAAAAAATGGACAGGTCTAGAGCCTACATCAACGCTAGGTCAAGTACTTTGTATGCTTTCATATTAATGTAGACTGCAGACCTATTAAGCCTTTTTCTTTGATTAACGTAGAAGGGTAGAAAGCTGCAACGTTAGTTCCTGCCATACACACATTTTGTGTAGAAGCCACTTCCTCATGTCCGCATAGCTCCTACGATTGATGTCCGCACTTTCTGGGAAAGTACCCGTCATCAATGCCGTACAAAAGCTGCACCGTGCCTCCGTTTTCTGTTCCTTTTCTGCATTCCATCATCAACACCCACAAGCTTGTTAATCAACTCCGAACACATCCTTCCAGCATCCACAAGCTTAGCACGTCATGAAGTTCTTTACCTTAGCTCTCGCAACTCTGCTAGCCCAGACGGTCACGATCGCCCAGAGTTTATGGTGGAACCAGCAGTCCAGCGGCTTCCGTCTTATCCTCAAGTCAACCGACAATGACCTCAATGAGTACATACCACCACCCTTCAGCTCTTTTCCTCATCCTGACAGATAGCAGCCACGCACTCGGAGCTTGCAATTGGACCGTACCCCGTAAGGGCCTATGCCTAACCGATGACACGACCGCCACCCCTGCACGTCCCTACAGTACCTTCTACCACAACGTATCCTCCTACAACTACGACAACCAGGGTATCCTCAACTGGCCCTTGAGTATTTGGGGTCGCGACTATCCCGCCTCGTCCGCAATGCGCTTCGACTACGAAGCTGGAACCAATCTCGTGGAAATTATGCTCGTGCCCTGGACCGACATATACCAACTGGTGTGGTTCGAAGAAGACAGCGCTAGCATGTACATTGCAATCGACGAAGATGATACTGGCAAGGTCCGTGACTGGGTTGTTCCACCGAAACAGGTCAAGAATTGGTACATGTGTAATTCGAGGTATAGCATTAAGTTGCGGACGCTGGCATGGAAGATAGGTTTTGTGGGCGAGCCGCAAAATCCTACTTGTTCAAAGGTCGACGTAGTGAGGGTGTGGGTTTGAGGAGATAAGGATTCAAAATGTTTTGTGCTTCCCGGGTGTCAGTGCGGGACTATCTGATTCTTTTCGCGAAGGAAGGAGTCCGTTGCGATTGACTGGACTGTTCTGGCGACGGATGTAGTAGTCAAGGTGTCTTTTCATTGTTTGGGCTTTGCCTTTTTGTACCAGTACGCGAATTGATTCTTCTTATCTTTATGCTCATCAACGCATAGTATCTCTGACGTTCCTCGCGAAAAGCCGACGCTCTTTGGATACCACAGCGTGCCTCAACTCTGCGTAGAAGTCCTCTTCCTCTCAACAGTTGCCACATGCAAAACAATCAGCAGGTTGGGTTATACATATCCGTATTCATTCACCGGCTACTCCCTACGTGGTACTTGGACGGTGATGTTCTCAGTGTGGACATCGCTGCATTACTGATCAGGGGGGTCTGGATCATGTTCAGCCGTTCCAACGGGATACAGAAAGAAAGAATAGAGTGCGCCTTTGACTCAGACTGCGGTCTGGTTCTAGGATGGGCTTGGTCTTTGAGATTGTACTTTGGTATAGGTACGGTATGATTGCGATAGCTTTGATGTCCAACGGGACACGAGAGGTCGACATTAGGGGTCTCGACCTGAGATGCTGCAGAATCGGCTTGGAGGTGCGGTAGATTATGGCAGACGTTGGTCGCGACAGTGGTTTTCGAGCTTGATGGGGGTGGCGAAGCTTGGAAGCTTGGCGGGTGCGATTGCCGCCCAAAATCCGGGGCTGGAAGCTACCTAGGTAGGTACGCGACGTCCCGTCTCTTCTCCAGACACCCATCTGTCAGACATTGAGCTTTTCCAGGAAAGATGTCCCGATAAGCGAACTAAAGTCAGTATCTGGATATGCAGGCTACATATCTCCAAACGAGCAACTACGCATACAGCCGAGGCCCACCACGACTCTCTTCCTCAACTGACCACGCAAGGTGATCATGTCAATGAAAAGAAAAATTGTAGCCCCCCGCGGGGACTTCCGCCGAGATCCGTTGCTCACGCCGAAGGAACCTGGTTCTCGCCCACTAATTAGTAGGGACAACATACCTGGAGTTGGCGGAGATGATCGTGAGCAAGGGACCTATCGATCCTCAGCTCGCACCTGGACACCTCGCCGGTAGATAAGAGTAGAACGGTCTGTTCTACCTGGCAAGTATGGATGTCTTCAGTGCGAACCAAGGAAGAGAGGACGCAACACCATACTATCGCTGACAAGAGACCCCCACCTCAAGACGGTAGTAGAGAATAGCTTTTGACCCGGCTGGTCAAACAGCAGGAGCTAACCCCCGCCTCAGAACCGGAAAGAATTCTCCCTAGCACTGTTGAAGTGCCCATTTAAACGGCCAAGTGGCGTGAAAGGATCACCCTACGAAGACTCTCGGCAGCGATAGGATGGGGTTGCGGATAAGAGAAAGGAAGAAACCACGGCGCTAAACTGCCGTCGTCAAGAGTCCAATACCAAGGTCATCGAGCAGTACCAGGCGTGTAAGATACTTCCGAAGCTGTTGAAGGTTCGTTGCTCTAAAGAGACCGTCGGCGGCGGTAGTTAGGCGTGTGGGTGGGTTAGGAGAAAGAAGTAGCTGGGCGGGCACAATATATGTCCAGTGGCAGGCGCACGAGCCCGTTCCTATGACGTCCTCAGGGCATATATTCCAGGCAGCAAAGTGAGAGTGCGCCTCAGTCTAGTGGATCCGAGGCAAAGTGAGAGTGAGTGAGCCAATGAGTACGAAGGAGGGTGAAGGTGAGTGGCCTCTTGGCGCTTTTACAAACAAAATACAAGTAAAGAGAGAACTCAAGGTGGGTGACCGCAGAATTGCCCAGGTGACCTTGTTTACTAGCCTGGTAAGTCTGAGCGCCTGGGCCCCGAGATTCTTTACCTGAGCGACACTTGGAGCCGCGTCAGTAGCACACTGAGATTCTATTACCTGGACTTTACCTTGCATCTCCGAATTCACGGGCATGGCTGATATTCACCCTTGCCAGCTCGCCAGCTTGCCCCCGGAGCTATTCGAGGATGTATTGCTCCGAGTAAGTCCCCTGCCGCCTCGTCCCAACAGGTAAATGGCGGTCGCCGTGGACCGACAAATGCTAACCTACCGAATAGCTCGATGCGACTGCGTTGCTACATCTGGTGAAGACGAGCAAGGGGTTTCTCGAAACCGTCCGGCCTTTTCTCTGGAAGGATGCATCTTTTGAGCTGGCCAAGATGAGACCTATCGACGCTAAGCTCATACATGGGCAATTTCTGCAGAATTACACCATGACTCTCAAACTGCGATTTGACCTCTCAGCGAGATCTAAACGGCTTGTAGCTACGAACTTCCGCCAACTCTGCCACTATGGAATCCGTATGTCTAAGCTGCACATACTCACATTCTGCGACAAATCCGCGCTAGACTTGGCCAGCTGGAAGTTTCTCAAGACAGTATTGACCTCGGAAAGTTCGACGCTTAGTACGACTCTTCGGACCATACAGTTTCCCCGCACCTCACCGAAACGAGACATTGTCAACCCCCTGGAAGAATTCTTGCCCATCGAAATCTATCAAGATGGTCGACCGCGGCGTACAACGAATTGTTCGGCGGCTTTCGAAATCCAGACGCCGGTTTCCGAGCATAGACCTGACGGCGTGCTCACCATTAAGATCAACGGACGGACGAACAGGCTTGGTGACGTGTACAGAGAAGCCGCATGGGGGACCTACACGCCTGTCGTCAAGGATTTCGTTCTGAAAGTGGCTCGTCTATGTGAGGATGACAAGCCTCGTCTCTCATCAGCCAGCATCAGCCACGACAATGCTGATACCTATACTGACGTTGGATATCTCATGAGCGATGTCGGGGTTGGAAGTATCGACAAGCCCGCATCTGTGCCGAAGATCAGCTACGATACCATCAATTTCAAGCATTGTCCATACGGCCGACTGCGCAACAAGTGGGAAGATCTAGATATGCTCAGCATCAAGGATGTCACTTTGACGGACTGTCAGAATGTCCACAAATTCTTCGAAGGTTGTATGGGTGCCGATGATCCGCCACAAGTCCAGCGCCTCATCTTTCGTTCACTCGACGATGAAGACATGATCCATGTGAAGGATCATACTTATCTCACCGAGTTCGTCCGCGACTCAACTGAAATTGAGGAGCTCAGCATCGCCACGGCTACATATTGGGAATTGAACCCTGTCCGCATGCTGCATGACAAGTCTCACCTGACCGTTCTTGAGTTCAGTGACGGCAACAAAGATATCCATATCGATTTGCTTAGCGAGATCGTGGTTCTATGTCCAGCGGTCCGAGAGTTTGGCATGCGTTGTTCAGCGATTCAACGTGTCTTGGAGAAAGGAAAAATTACCGAGGCATTTCGTCAGAAGGTGGCCGCTATCGCCAAACAGCTGGTCAAGTTGGTCAGGCTCGAGACGGTCACGTTCGTGTATCGCACGCTCGGTCAAGAACCCAATTTCCGTCATGCCCATGAGGTTGTTATCGGAGACGAACGGTACAAGATTGTGGCAAATGAGATCTACCGTCAGCTTGTCGAGGCCGCCAAAAAGGCTGACCAGCCATGCATCATCAAGACGATCCAGCTAAAGAGGCAGTTATATCAAGAGGATAGAGGTCCAGTGTCTCTCACCATTAAGCTGCCTGAGGCCGTGATCCACGTTTTCGAATATTGAGTCTGTTTCGACTCGGCTTCTTTGAGGACGACGTGTGTGGATGACATATCAGAGACGATTGTTACCCAGGTACAAGATATATAGAGAAGATAATGAGCGATGAGGTGGCAGAGAAGATGGGCCTGAGGTGCTTGTCTCTTACGCGATTCGCTATACGCAAGAGCGGGAGGCAGCATCTCTCGATTTATACTACTCAAGTATCAGTGCAATGTAACAGATGAAGCCAACCGCGTTACTCCCTCGTTTTGGTAGCCCAACATCTCACCACTACGTGATGCTGTTCCTCTTGACTTCTCGTACTACCAGTGCTACGATAACGAATTTGGGCATAGTTGGCGAGGGCTCCCTGGATACTCGGAAAGGGGTCTACATTGACCTAGAAATTGCCTAGTCATTCATAACTGATAGTGTGCATACTGCAAACTGCGACACGAATTCTAGCATGTCTGAGGTCCGTGCGCTGTTCTCGCGCATCGAGCATCCATCGCCCACCAGAGCGACATGATCAACCTCACGACCCGCTCAACCCACGCCACGATGAAGACGTCACTCGCCACCCTCTCGTCCTTTGCGACGCTCACAAGCGCGGCACGCCTGCTGCTGCAAATCCCGAACACGGTCCTTGTCAATCCGTCCACGCTTCCCTCGACCACGCACGCAACGCTCCAGTCCTCCGGCCCGCCCCTCGACGCCTATCTCACGCGCTCCAACACGTTCAACTTCAACAATGTGAGCGCTGGAAGCTACCTTGCTACCGTGCATTGCCGCGACTATGCGTTCGAGCCACTGAGGATTGATGTCACCGTGGAGGAGGCGGCAGAGGGCAGCGGGGAGAAGAAGGAGATGATCAGGGCATACCAGACCTTCCTGGGTAACGAATGGGATAACAAGGGAGAGAGCCGCGGCGAGGGCGGTAGCGGTCTGGTGGTTGAAGCCAGGCCGGTGGGAACCAAGTACTTCTACCAAGAGAGGCAAGGCTGTAAGTTGGCATCGCGACAATGCGCAATGGGGAGATTGTGCTAACACGCTGCAGTTTCGCCGCTGTCATTCTTGAAGAATCCGATGATTCTCATGGCGATAGTGTCCATGGGTCTCATCTTCGGCATGCCCAAATTGATGGAGAACAGTAAGTCTCTCGGCAGCCCGTTAGGTACTGCCAAGGTTACTAACACACGCGTAGTGGACCCCGAGATGAAAGAAGAATTCGAGGAGATGAAGAAGAACGGCGTCCTAGGCTCCGGAAACACCAACACGGCATCGCAGTTACAGAACTTTGACCTCGCCTCGTGGATGGCCGGTAAGACCGA